ATATATTTTTTTATATAAAAGAACTGAATAGATATAATAGATAATTAGAAAAAGATTTACGTTTTAGAAATAACTAAAATATTTTAGAGATATATATTCTTTTATTTCACGCTTCTTATCTCTGCATATTATTTGATTGATTTTCGATCGAATCTTTATAATTTCTTATTTTTAAATTGATAAGAAAAAAATTAAATTTTAGCTTTAATTTTTGGAGAGGAGGAACAATAAATAAGAAATAAAATAAAACAATTTAATAATGAATGGATGTTTTTTTTTTTTTATTAATATGAATCTACAAGAGTAGAAATTTTGTTACGAAAGGATGAGTTAATAGACAATAATAATGTGTATAACGTAATTATATTCTGAATACTATCTTATATTTATATTTATTGTACTTATATTTATTGTATTTACAACATATATTATTGTAATTATACAAGGATACGTAAATTGCATTTTACACGTAACAAATAAATTTTAAGTATAAAAAAGAAGAAAAGTGGCAACAAAATAAATCGACATCAAAGAAATAGACTCTTTAATTTGCTCCAGTATCGAAAACTTGAAACTCTTGTTTTCAAGGCAACGCGACATCATGAAATACATCCAGAAATCGCCACTGCTGTATAGTTACACCAACTGGCCTTCTTTATGCCTCCTTTATGCCTCCTTTATGCCCATAACCGATGGAACATGCACATGGAAACGAGTTTCTGACCGCACAAGGCGCCTTTGTTTTAAAACTCTGCGAGTAATATATCAGGGTTAATTCATTTTATGAGTAACGTCAAATAAGAGTAATATCAAAAATGATGATTAGAAGAAATCGATGATTAGAAGAAATCAAAGAAGCTCAAAATGCAAATGATGTTTGGTAATGTCTAATTTCAAAGATTACAATTTTTTAGAATTGATAATGAGAAATCTAATACTGCAATTTTACACACAAAAACGAGAAGAAAATGTCTTTTTCAGACAGTTTTTAGAAAATTTCCAAATAGCCTCGCATTCCCACACGGTGTATAGCATTACAAAGTAGAATGCGCGAAAGAAGTGGACACTGCCACGAAAGGTTAATCCAGTATATGAACATCAGTAACGAATCTTACTGATCTTAAGCCCATTTCACACTTGAGTGCTGTTGCAAAACGCAAATTGATAAAATGATCAATCCGCCGATTAAATAATCTTATATAAATTTATTTCATATGGAACTACAAAAAGTCGACTTTCTTCTTTCACTCTCAATTTTTTGTTAATAAACTAAACATACTTTTAAATGTAATATTAGGTATGGGAAAAAGTTCGTGACGTTTTTCCCATTAGATGGCATTAAAAAAACGCCATGAACTTTTTCCCATACCTAATATTTCAATATATACATTTCTAGACGCTTTTTAATGCATTTGTCTATTATTTTTCTATTATTTTCGCACACACTATTTTCTGCAAAAATTGAGATAATTTTTTTTAATGAGGTGTGATTCGGATTTTTTTCGACCGATTTATTATTTCAACAGCATTTATTTGAGCCTTTAATTACAGATGGAAAAGAGATTCGTCAGTTGT